TGATATTGTCGCGCCATCTAGTATTTTATTTGTGCAATTTTAGATCTTTCATTTCGAGTATTTTTCTGTTGCGTAGCTAGATATTCTGTGCTAATAGCCTACGAAACTGTTTCTATTCACCCCATTTTACGGTAGTTTGTTTTATTTTACAAAGAAATAAGTTGGTACAACTGGAACGCATAGGAAATATTTAAAATTTGATTGACAAGATGACAAGTGATTACTTCCATAGATAAATGCAACAAGTTTAGATTGGAAAGCCCATAAAAATTTTAGGTCGCGAAATTATTTTGGGCGCGACCGTTATACGCGATCTGGCGCTGCTATAGCGGTCGCCAGAGAATAGGTACATTAAAGAAATCAACTTCATGGTTTTATTAATGGAAACAGACGCCATCTGTGTCGCCTCTTTTTTTATTTTTACTAGTTAAATTGAGGGTAAATCTCATTCAAGATTAAAAGAGGGAAGCTTTAGTTTAAAATTTATAAGTATTACTGATTAGGAAAACTTTATTTAAGTTAATTAAACATATTTTTTTATTACTTTTATATAAATTAAAATAATTAAACAATTTTATGTAGTATAAAAATTAACTTTATACAGCAAATCATACTGACAAGTATTAAAGTTTACGTATTATTTTCAGAGAAAATTCATAGTAAATAAATTACACATTATTATACTAAACAATATCATTTATTTGTTAAGAGCAACGATTTATATTACAATAATATTGAAATATATATCTTTTTTTAACAATGAAAAAAGAATATCACGGAACCTGAAAAAGAAAGATGATCAATTAATGACTTAAATTAGTTCAAAATACATTTTCTTGTAGTTCACCCAATAGAATCGTTCTCGCAGCTTCCTCCCAAGTTGGTAGTTGCTATTCATTCAGAATAGTGGATTTTAAATATATTTGTGAAGTCGGATGGTTTAACTATCGTAACAATAACTACTTTTAATAATTCTTTTTCTCTATTCTGATAATACTATAATTTGCATCCCACGTATTGTAATATTTAACATGCATAAGTTTCCTATTGATACAACTACCTGTATCACGATAACACACTAATATCACAAAAAATATATGCTAATTTAAATTCCTTTAATGATCTAATGAAACACTATCTAGCGTCAATCTCTTGCCTTTCCAAAGGCAAGTTGGTAGTTTCCATACCAATTAAATATAAGTGGATTTTAAACATAAACCAAGCTCGGACGGTTTAACAACCAAAAATGCATCAAAAAATAAATTTTATCAGATCATACCCTTGGATATATTCAACATTTTAATATCATAAACACATCCCAGAAGAAAAGTTTACTAACTCAAAATAGAGAATATAGAGAACATTGTCAGGAGAAGTAAAGAAAATTTAAGTTAAGGCAATATGCTCCTTTTTGCATATTAATGGCCAAATAATATAATGTTGATTTAATAAAATTTTACTGGCATCCTTCTGAGGTATAAATCAGATTAAAAGGACATAGTTTTTGTAATAATTGTTTGTTTTGTAAACATTTTTTGAAGACAATACAGTTTTGAACGGGCTTTAGAATAAATTACCTGGAATTTGTTAATTCATTACAACATTGAATAAAAGATGCAAAGTGTTTATACACATACTATAAATAGATAAATCTTCATTTAAATTATGTGATAGATCTGCTTGTTTAGGATATTATTATCAAACTCAATAATACGTTTAGTTAATAAAGTAGTACGCTGCTGAAAGTTCTATCGGCGGGTTTTGCAAAAGGTCCAAATCTAAATTATTACAAAAATACGTTTACATCTTAGTTGTATTTACGAAGGGATGTATTATGTGTGTAATTTACTGACTTACCATGTGAACTGAATAATCGCATTAAATACATCCAAATGGTAATTTAATGCAGTTGGCTTGGAAAAAACATCAAAATTGTTTTAAATCAATTGGCATGGGACAGCCCAGCCAGCTTCTTTGTTGGCAAAATGGCCGCGGTATCATGATTTTATTCAATGTGAGTGTACAAAGTAAATAATGCCTGGCAGATGTTGCTTTCTTTGTCGTTGGTCCTGGCACGTTTAAATTTGACTGTTGCCTGTTTTCCCATACAAGTGACACCCAGGTGACACCCCCGTGGCGGTCGCTAAGAACAACGGCAAACAAAAACAGAAATAATTTTCTCTTGTCAAAGTCAGAATCTTCAAAAATCATAATAATTCAAGTTTTATTTACTCCAATCGGTGATAATTGCGAAAAAGTGGCATTAAAAACTTAAAAAGCTGTGCTGTGAACTGTGCACTGCAAAAACCATATTGGATTTTTGGCATGTTGTCGGTTACAAAATGTTCATATTTATGTGTATAACATTACGTCCTTATATAAAATAAAGTTTCTTGTGTGCAATTCACTGTATTTTATTTATAAAATTAATCGAAAATTGCAACTCAAATTTGAATAAACCAAGGCAGTTGACGACATAATCCTCGGAAAAAGCCGAACCGCTACGAAATTTGGAAAGTTTGGGTCGCGACCGTTGCGCGTAAACAAGAACAGCTTGTAATTTAAAACGAAATTGCCATACCTTATGGGTAGATTTCCAATCTAAACTTGCTTTTGATTTATCTAAGATTAATTCAAAATGTTTGAAAAACTGTACCTAAAACACTAAAATGTATTCTGAGTTATTTTGATTTTAATAAAAGATGTGTTAATACAAAACAAGCAAGAACAGTTAACTATACACCAAAAAGTAAAAACAACTATTTTTTTACTTTCATTTGTTTAAAAACTACCAACAATTTATGCGTTATATTTATCTTTATAACTTATTACAAATAAATTTTATTCAGGTTATAACCACAGGAATAAATTAAAACAACATAAGTAAATGTAAACAAACGGTATCTTACGACAAATGTTTATTACAATAACATTGACTCAAATTTTATACCTTAAAGGTTGATTAATTAACTTTAATCTTAATTATAACTAAACCATTTTACAGGCTTTTTTGTTCATTATTTTTCTGCAGTATTAAAATCCACTATTTACCCTATCGTGTTATGTCATATGTTAAATAATAACTCCAGCACAAAGTATGATAAACAAGTTTGATCCTTCTACCATATACGAGATGCACTTATCTACGACGAGATGGTTATACAAACTTTATCGATGGCAACTTCATTTTGTATAGACTTTCTGCCTGGGCAGCGAGTATGTAACCATAAACTGTGCTCTGGGTCTACAGTTTTTTTCACTCGATTTTTCCTCCATTTGACTTCAAAAACACAAAACACACGTAATAATACGAATCAAAAATGGGTAATGTTTGGTTATATTTATTTTTATTCTCTTATCTATGGTTACTTTTCATTTTTTAGATTTATGCGTTTTTAGCGCCACTGTGGTCATTTGGCGAACCCTTATTCTTCCCATTTTGTGACCACTTTTTCAATAAAAGTCCCATAAGAGTTATTTCTCCTTACCTCTACACTCCATACGTCAAACCAATAAAATTGAAATACGATCTGTCATTTTTTAAATAAACCAATAAAACTGGTTAAAAACAACAAGACACGACGTATGACGGATTTATATTTAAACCCATCCATAGATAACTTAAAAATTATTAGAAACTTCTTTTAGTAAAATAAATAGATTGGTATGGGACGTCATCTGCTTTTCTTCTGTCATCGTCTGTCGAAATCTTACCTGAGAAAAAAAAACAGAGTATAGATTCGCATTCTTAACATTGTGTTAAATATCAAAATATTTACAAAGCAAAATCCTCTACATTCCTTAAGTTGTTGAACTTATTTATAGGTGACTGTATTAATATAAAGCTGAAATTTATATATTTCCTTTCAACTGACTGTTTTAAAACGGAGGTGAGTGAAATGTTTACAGAATTCTTTGTTAAACATGAGATCTAACAAATGGGTTACTAAAAATTGTATTCTGGTCAAAATGCACATACAAATAATTAACATGAAGTTATGTAAAAATATCTGAAGTATAATATTGTACTAAAAAAAAATTTTCAATTGTATGGAAATCTACAATACTTCAAAAATCTCATTCTCTGACAAAAAAAAATTAGGTGATGTGTGGATGGTATCTTTATTTTATAGAGAAACAATACAATTTTTGGTGCTTATTATACTAAACTATGCTGTCAGATACTTATGTATATTACCATTACTGTATATCATTATTGTATATTGTATTTTTGTGAATATTACATTTGATTGAAATAATATCGTAATACCTGTTTATATAATTCCAAGGATGAATAAAGATCTATTTATTTATTTATTTATATGTCAACTTTTGATATTTTCACTTTTAAAAAAAATCGTATTTTAAATTTCAATCTAGAGTGCCATGGCTGTGCTAAAACACTATTTTTTAATCAAAGAGACTTGAAAAATAGTTTTCATCGTCTAATGTTGTTCGTGTCTTGTCCTGGCCGGTTAAAAGATGCTCAAATCGTATTTTTAATCATATCTCAATTTTTTCAAATGGAACGAGGGTGGCTCATTAGCATATTTGTAAAAAGCAATTTTTTACAAATATTTTGGTGCCACACACTTGGTATTTCGAGTCCAGTTGTCGTTATGAAGCGTATGTTACAATTTCAAATAAATCATATACGAAAATGTCAAAAGTTGACATATGATATGGCATTCTATACAGACTGTCATTTTCTATCAAAAGTATAAAAAATAAATAAAAAAGTATAAATATACCGATAGTGTCATTTAAAAATCAAAAGTTGTAGTCATTTCCGGTGAAACAGAAAGTGACTAAAAACAATTGAATCCAATCAATCCTATTTTATGTCATATACTAACATACGAAATCTCGTTTTTTTATCTGAAAAATACAAAAGTTATAGGGGTGAGCCACTTTTGAGACGCACCCGGTATAACAAAATTTCTAGACGTAAAAAAGACATTTTTTATCATACAATATAATATTATTTTTAAACTTATTAGGGATAAAAATCTTGAAGGAATAGAGAAACTATTCGAAGACCTTAAAAAGGATCCTAAATTCGAAGGCACAGCTGGCATCTATGCTCAGTTATTAGATGCGTACGCAAGTAATAATAAACTTGACAAGGCTTTAGAACAACTGGATCTCATTAAAAAAATAGAAGGAGAAAATTTTCAATTAGACGAATCTAAGATCGTAAGATTAGCTGCTGTTTTAGTTGATAATGGCCAATTTGAAAATGCCATCAGACTTTTGGAAGGTGATATAAGTTCATATCAAATAAACTTTTAGTCACGTGATTAAGCTTGACCGGCACAGCGTTGCCCACTTTAACATATTTTCCTTTAATCAAAATATTTTAGGGAAAAAAAAATTAAATAATATATAAACAATTATTATTTACATCAACAAAACTTAACTTCTTAATAGCACTTAAGGGGCATATAGGGCTATTACTACTGCTTTCCCGTTTAAAATATTTTAATATAATAAAGTTGCGATGAGTTTTTTTACGGCTATTAATCTACCTTGTACAGGGTGGTCGAAATTGGTTTGTTTTAACAGAGAAACCCTATTTCCTGACTAGATGGAGCAAAACCGACAGATGTCATGGGCTCGATTTCTGAGACACGTTTAATGACGTAAACCGTCTGTTGATATTTTCACTGCCAACTGAGATACAAGGCCTTTTTGATTTTTTTACCATTTTGAAAATTGTCTATAACTTTTTTATTTCGCGGAATAATCATATTCCGTAAAAACGTTCTTACGGCACTTTTTTAATCACAATCCAGTGGCGTAGTTAGTTTTTTTCTATGTTAGCTCTTTTTATCAGAAATAATAATAAATATAAATTTTTAAATGCAAATCATAGTTGGCTATGAACTAAAAAAAATAGTGGCGTTTAACCCTTTCCAACGATATAAAGTTATGAGTATCTATTTCTAAGAATGAGAGAAATATTAAGTTTTTTATCTTTATATCGAAGCGCGGGCCTTGATTTTGTGTTGGCCTATTTGCCTAGTTATTTTTATCACAATTTATATTCTATATTATTATTTATCTGCATAATTAAAGATTTTTCAAAAGGTAAATTAACATTCTATATTAGCATTAGTAATTACAATTGAAATCGATACAATAAACAATGAACAAAACTAAAAAAACGTATTTTTTGAGTGACGAATATAGTTTTCTAAAACAAAAACATCAAATATGTTCAAACAACACATCCTTGTTAAAGACACAATAAACATCTTTTGCGCACAGAGTTACAGCGATTTATTAGGCGAACTGGTGTAATAAGTCCAAAAGCTTGCCTAGTAGCCTTCTGCTTAAAAATTTCAAACTTACCAGTTAACTGAATAATCGCATTAATTACATCCAAATGGTAATTTAATATTGTAAAAAAGCAAAATTGTTTTAAATCAATTGCCAGGGCAGCCGGCCAGCTTCTTTGTTGGCAAAATGGCCGCGGTATCACGATTTAAGCAATGTGAGTGACAAAGAAAGCCAATGCCTGGCAGATGTTGCTTTCTTTGTCGTTTATCCTGGCACGTTTAAATTTGACGGTTACCTGTTTTCCCATACAAGTGACACCCCCGTGATTTAATCCAAAAACTCGTGATTTAATACAAAACTAAACTGTCAAAACGAATGACATTGTCAGGAAATAAGTAAATAAATGTAGCAACTTGACATTTTTTACAGCAGAGCTACCACCTGAATCCCCAGCGGGAAATTTAAATTCCAGTTAGTCAGCTCGGCGACAAATATGTTGCCATGGTTGGCAACAATGAATTTAAAAATCGCGCCCTCGATTACGTAACTAAAAGTTTAATTGGTATTAAATATACTTATTATAGTAGATTAGTTCATTATTATATTTTTGTAATTTCTTGTAGACACACCTAAAGATAGAAATAATACAAACCGTGGATATGCGTACAATTCACAAGTATGGCGATTTTTAAATTCCTTAGCCGAAAAGGGGCGTACAACTGAGTTATATCAACTATTTGATACCTTAGTTAAGAATGATTACATTGATGTTAACAATATTTTACTTGGACCATTGATAAGAGTTCACATTGTTAATAATGAACTTGACACTGCTATTGAGAAATTAGAATGGTAAGTACGAAGTACAAATAATGTAATAATATTTTTAAGTCATTTCTTTGTATATCTGAAGGTGTGTAAATCAGTTTAAAGCTACACCTTGGAAGAACGAACTGACTTGCAGACTGATCCAGTTAGAGGATGCCGAAAAATTGCAAAAGTTAACAGACTTGAGTACTGTGGTTCATGGAGAAATAAATAGTTTGTACGATTTAGTGTTTGCCTTTGTGGAATGTGGAAGAGTTAGACAAGCAAGGAAAATACTGGAAACTCCTGGACTACAAAGCAGACCGAAAAAAATTAATTTTGCATGTGAAAGGTTTGTTTAAATATTGTTTTATAACGGAGGCGGAGGTACAAGTTATACAGGGTGTTCCTCAATGACATGCTAATATTTAAGGGGGTAATTCTTAGACCTGTTCTAAGAGAAAAACTTCATATGAATAGAATGTATGTCCTAAACATCTTAATTTCTGAGATACAGGGTGATAAAATTTTTCAAAAAGAAACGTTTTTTCATAATAGCTCTGAATGTATTATAGATTTATTTATGAAACTTGATACACGTCTTCTATGTGTCAAAATACCTTTTTTGGTGTACAAAGAATTTTATTTATTTCAACCAGTGTCATCTATACGGGTTATATATTCAATAGTTTTGGTTAGGTTAAACATATTATAATATGTCACTCACTAAAAATCGTCAGAAAATGTATTTTATACTCCTGTACACTGTTGGAACAATATGAAAAAAATTAAACTCGTTTTTTTTTCTAAAATCTTCGGTTTTAACTAACTCATATTTTTGTTTAGTTTAAAAAAGCGCGTTAGAAAATATTTTTTCGTTAAAAATACATCCTTGCCAGAAATAAACATAAAAATTATTATAAAAAAATGAGTCCTAGAAGATTTTAGAAAAAAATGAGTTTTTATTTTTTTTTTCATATTGTTCCACCACTTCAAAAATTCTAAAAAATTCCTGAGTGTAAAGGAGTACAAAAGACATTTTCTGACGATTTTTAGTGAGTGACATATTTCACAAAGGTTAAAAAAATGAAGATTTTAATTTTCTTTCCTCCGCTAAAAATCCGTTTTTCCTTTAAGAATCATGATCATATAATTTTTTCATGTCTCAGACTTCTAAGAATTAGAAAAAAATCATCATTAATGAATTTCGAATTTTACCATAAAAATAAAAATTAAATTGAAAAAACAGGTTTTTGAAAATCTCGAAAATCGTTTGAGTTAAAGAGCTAAAAATTTGGGTGAATTATTTTGATTCGACACAAAATCAATCCCTTGAGTGCGATTCAAAAAAGCCGGGGGGGGGGCAAATTTGCCATATTAATCTGGGTATACCCTTTGATTGAATTATTTTGTGAATTAAGATGATTGAGTTCGTGATTGAGGAAGTTTGGTTTGGTTTGGTGGAATCCAACTGTCTAATATCCATTCCAGATTAGGAAAATATTGTCAACATATCGAAGCTAGATTTTAGGTTTGACGACTGCGTAACTAATCTAACATAACCCATGGGGTGTAATATAAAAGCTATGTAGTTTTAGGAATTAGGTTAGTTTACATTTGATTATTATATTGTTTACATTCATTGTTAATCAAAATAAATAGACAATGGAAGTCCGAAATTCTTTCAGTTTCAATACTGAATCATAGTCAACCACATTCAAAGCAACATATTTCCTCTGTTACAGATTTCAACAAGAAGGTTTAATTACTCCTTTGGAAGGACTTAAGGATGCCACCAGGGACTTGAACTACATTGACCGTACTGACATTTATTATCAACTTTTACTCAGCTACATTAAACAAGGAGAGCCAGAAAAGTGTTTAAATCTTTGGACCCAAATGCAGGAAGAAGATCTCGCACCCACCAATCAATTTTTATTAACCCTTGGAAGTTTCTTACAAGAAAAAGGTAATAAAGAATTAACGACACTGGTTTATTCGCATACAATGTTTATATTTATTATTTTTAGGTATTGAAGTGCCATTTGTTGTGCCCCAACCCCAGATTCAAGCAAGACCTCAAGAGACTACACATTTTACTGTGAGACCAGTTGAAAATTCTGCACGTACTAACCAAAATATTTTCAAGCAAAAACTCCAAAAAGGTGATATCGATGGAAGTCTCCAGATTGCGGCAGTTTATCATGATAATTTATCGATTAACGATATATCACGTTTAATTGAGAAACTTATTCATAACGATAGATTAAATGACGCTACAAGCATTACTCTCAAATTATTGGACAAGGACAAATATCCAGTTCAGAAAATTTTTAGGTATGTATTAAGCTTGATTTTCATGCATCCGTTATCCGACGATACCACGGCATATAAATCACACGGCAGGCACTCTGTCCAGATTCCATTGTTTAAAATTTCTATAAAATTTGACCTTGAAAACACCATTATAGGTGCCGAGTCAGGGCCGGATTAAAACGTATCAAAAAATTTTCCAGAAAATAAACTATTGATAGACAGGGTCGTATTAAAAAAATACTGTAATTGACTGAAACTGAATTTTATTTACACAATACTTTTATCTAAACAAATGGATCGTTAACCGCGCATACTCCTCGAAAAGTAAAAATGAAAAAATCAATTAAACATTTAACTGTAGAGAATAGACAATTAAAATTAAAAAACATGCCAGGAGTTACAAACAAGAATTAAAGAAATACCCAATAAAATATCTATTGAACAATCTAAAGAGGCTACGTGCAAATTACGTCCATCAATGGACATAGCAAATTTTGTTAATATTCAAATCGCACAAATTAACAAATCAGCTAAAGAAAGAAAAGTAACTGATGAATTTAAATATAAATGTTTGGCTATGTACTTTTCCGGGCCAAAAATATACAAGACGCTCTTGACAAATCTATTTTGCCTTCCACGTCCAAAGACCCAGAGACACTAAGATATTGAATATATGACATAGATATCAAACCTGGCTTAGAAAATCTTAGTGTATTTGAGACTGTGAAAAAGAAAAGTTGAAAGTTTCGATGAAGCAGATGAACTTAATCGATATTTTGTTCTATGTATTGATAATATGAATATCAAGTGCAATTTATTTTATAATAGTGGTCGTGATAATATTGTAGGTTTTGAGGACCAGAAGGGGAACAGAGAGTTTAAACCAGCTCGGGTGTCTAATGTTGTTATGGTAAGAGGTATCTTTACCAATGGGAGGCAGTCCCTAGCTTATTTTACAAGCTTTTATTTAACTTGCTTTGTATGTATGTTTGTTCGGGGCAAATCTTGTAAGCTAAATTAGAAGCACTTCCTTTCATTGTAGGAAATTGAAATTTGGCATATAGGTTCAGTCCCGATGACAATACATTTTTTGCAAGGCATGACCCGAATTTTTGACAGCTGTCAAAAAAATTTCGATGTCCGATTTTGATAAAAATCGCTATAGGATGGCCATAGGCTAAAATGAAAGAAAAAAAATTGAGCTGTCAAATTTGACAGCTGTCAAAAAAATTTCAAAGTTGTCCGATTTTGATAAAAATCTATATATAAGATGGTCATGAGTTAAAATGAAAGAAAAAAAAATTGAGCTGTCAAATTTGACAGCTGTCAAAAAATCTCAAAGTTGTCTGGTTTTTGATAAAAATCGATATATTGGATGCTCCCTACCCCATAGTCGGTTTTCATTTTATTTGTCTCACATTTGAACTGTCAAATTTGACAGCTGTCGTTTTTTTAAGTTCTGCTTTTTTAATGAAAATCGATATACATATTATTAGGATGCCCATAGGAAGTTATTTAAGAAAAAGAATTGAGTTTAAGTGTGTGGCACTGACTAAATGGCATAACTAAAAAGTAAAAAATAAATTTAAGAAAAAAAACTTTTTAAAAACAAGCTTTTATTTAAATACATTAAGAAGAAAAAAGTAAACTTTTTCTTTGAAACTTTTATTATGAACTTATAACGTCATTACACAATTTTATATTATATAAAAGCTTGTCGCGAGATTTGAGTGTACAGTTGCACTTATGAAAATCTGGTACGACAACTTTATTTTGTAATTCCAATATCTTGTAAACCTATCATTATTCCCATCCAGGATAAATTCATCCAGTTTAGAAGAACATTTAAAAAACTTTGTGTCCGAATATTACACACGGGTTCTGAAAATTGCCAAAATGATCTGGCAAACATCTTATTAAAAACGGCAGATCTTATTATAAAAACCAACGAGACCTCTGTTCTTTTCTCTCTGAATTGTCATAAGCTATCCATAAAAATTAAAAATAGATACGGATAATCAGAAAAACAGTAATTTAGAAATGAATCTGCAGGATACCTAATAATAAAAATTACTTTGAATGCCGTAGACAATGATTGAGTATTAAAACTAAAAGAATTTCGGACTTCCATTGTACTACTAAACTACAAAAACCAAATATATCACACAATAAACAAAAATAAAAAAACAAAATATATCACTCAAGAAAAGAATGAAATAAATTAAGCCGCCCGCTACTGACTCGAAGCTGCCGTAACTGTATGTTGTCGATGACAAAGACTACGCCTGATTACGAGACTGGTTAATTTCTGTTGCTGGCACCCATAATGGCGGCGTGCGCAAGGGTATTCCCGCCAAAGCGATTCGGCCTGCCGTGACGATACGATATTAATTTTATTGGTTGAATTTAAAAACTTTGGTTAGAAAATTACACAGTTTTTAAATTTATTGGATTTTCATGCCTCCGTTCATCGGATGTACGATTTGCTTGTGATTGGTATCATTTTATATTTTCATTTCCATAACGATTTCGCTGTTTTACTTATAGTCTAAGAGCTAGCAACGTTTTCGAGAGAGAATTTTAAGAAAGCTGGTTCTTTAATATATCTTCTGTTATGCTCTCCTGAACAGAGTGCGGACCGTCTGGCTGTAGGTAGACATTGCGTTCACTACTGCGCATCATATCTGTATTCAAAATCTGTTCACTACTGCGCATCACAAATTCGCCCTGTATTTCAGGAACTGAGGAGGCTAAGACAAACATATGTGTAGCATATTTATACTCTGTTTTTTTTCTCAGGTAAGATTTCGACAGACGATGACAGAAGAAAAGCAGATGACGTCCCATACCAATCTATTTATTTTACTAAAAAAAGTCTCTAATTATTTTTAAGTTATCTATGGATGGGTTTAAATATAAATCCGTCATACGTCGTGTCTTGTTGTTTTTAACCAGTTTTATTGGTTTATTTAAAAAATGACAGATCGTATTTCAATTTTATTGGTTTGACGGAACGATGAACGACAAACGGACGCCGATGCGTATGAACTTGCCTTTAGATTTTTGTCATTTTTGGCGCTTGTCAAAGTCTTGCCAAATTATAGGTTATAATTTTGTGTCAACTTTTGTTAAATACCCTGCGTTTTGGAAGATGATGCATTTTGATTCGTATATTACGTGTGTTTTGTGTCAAGTCAAGTGGAGGAAAAATCGAGTGAAAATTAACTGTAGACCCAGAGCACAGTTTATGGTTAATACTCGCTGCCCAGGCAGAAAGTCTTATACACCAATGAAGTTGCCATCGATAAAGTTTGTATACCATTTCGTCGTAGATAAGTGCATCTCGTATAAGGTAGAAGGATCAAACTAAACACATAGTAAAAACTGGAGTAGCTGTAAAATATCGACATCACACGATAGGCAAATAATGGATTTTAGTACTGCAGAAAAATAATGTCAAAAGGTACTGGTTTAAAAAAATTAAGATTAAAGTTAATTAATCAACCTTTAAGGTATAAAATTTGGTAGGAGTTATTATTAATAAAATAGTTTGTTTTATTTACCTATGTTGTTTTATTTATTCCTGTGGAATATTACAAATTTGTATTTGTACATAAGTTATATTGATAAATATAATCATAAATGCGGGGTAGTTTCATAAAGCTTGAAAGTAAATAATAGTTCTTTTTATATTTTTTTGGTATGTAGTGTCTTGTTCTTGTTTGTTTTGTATTAACACATACCGTTTTATTAAATAAAATAACTCGATTACATTTTTCAGTTTTATACAGTTTTTTCACAATATTTTGAAGTAATCACTTGTCATCTTGTCAATCAAATTTTAAATATTTCCTGCTATGCGTTCCAGTTGTACCAACTTATTTCTTTGTAAAATAAAATAAACTACTTTGAAATTAAAATGACAGACACATCTATCACTGTCAAGGATCTTCTCGTTGGACAGACTATAGTTTCATAAAAATGTAGCAAAGTAATGTGAAAATCGCATCATTGTATCTCTACTCGTAAACGAGAAATCCCATAAAACACACGAAAATGGGATACCCTCTACAGATGTGATGCGCAGTAGTGAACCGCAGTCAGGAGAGCATAGCAACTTCTGTTGGGTCGACTTGACGACCCAACATCAATTGCTCAACAACCAACGAGCATTGATGGCATGCAAAACATGACATCATGATGTTTTTTTTCAGATTCTTGTTGAACCGTTTAGCTTCTGCTGGTGATATTCACTCTTTAGAGCAAATTGGTAATAAGTTAAATGCCAGTGTAAAGAAACTAGTTTCATTTGATAACAGACTGTGCCATGCTAATATAGTTGCCGGTAAAGGCGAAGATTACCTGAATAAATTGGAAAAAGACATTGATTCAACCAATTCTGAGAACCTAAGTATTATTAGTGGCCAGTTTCCTAGAGGTGGAGCGTATGGCATACTTGAACACCATCCGAACCTGACAGATAAATGTAAGTCAATTTATATCAATATAAAATAAAGAAAAGAAGAGAGACTAAAGAAATCGAGTACTATTTTATACAGGGTGTCCCAATATTCCGTGGACACAGGACTACTATATATTTTTGGAGAGAAAATAAGTCTATTGGACACAATTTACCTCTATACAAAAGTGCTTCGTTTGTCCGCTAGAGAGCATCAAACTTTAAAAAAATTAACACATTTTTTCAGATATTTTAAGAACCGTTTTTCCGATTTGAATGAATTTGATGAGAGCAATTTTCTAGTGACACTTGGTAGCTATTTTGAAAATCGACATTAGTTTATGGACTTTATTTAAATTTATAACAGGTTATTTTTATTTAATTTACATATAATAAATTTAATAAGTAAGTTTTTATTATTTTATCAAGAAAAACGAAGCAGTATCTGCTGGAGGAAGGAATGGATATGTTACTATGACTTTACTGTGAGTGATTTTATTTTGTGAGGACAATTACTTGTTGGCCTGAAGGGTTTATGCTCAAATATATCCAAATAGGAACTTTCTTGACAAGCGTTCCTTTGAAAAACTGCTTTTCCTGTTTCACAGAGCTGATAGTGTGGTATGTGAAAAATCTGTTAGGCAGATTTTATTTGCCTTAATTGGTTCTTTTATAGAAAATCCAATATATCTACAAGTCATCATAATATAAATTAAAGAACTACTTCTTTATTTTTCTTGATAAAATAATAAATACTTATTCAACTATTATAGGTAAATTAAATAAAAGTAAACTAACATAAATTTAAATAAAGTGCAAAAACTAATGTCGATTTTGAAAATAGCTACTAACTGTCACTAGCAAATTGACATGGCGATCCCAGCCATCTTGATTGCCGTTTTATTGAAAAATCGCTTTTTATTCAAAATCTGAGCCAGATAGGTATAGGAAACTTTAATATATCAAAGCAAAACCTTTGAAGGCGGGTAAAAGGACAAACAACTTACAATCTTTAAGTTGTTTAATTTAAATTTTAATGCTTAAAAAAGCAAGGGGGGCAACAAAGGTTTTTTTTGCCATAGTACAAAAATGTTTTTTTTTTAATTGCTTTTTTAAGCATTAAAATTTAAATTAAACAACTTAGATTGTGAGTTATTTGTCCTTTTACCCGCATTCAAAGGTTTTGCTTTGATAATATGTACTCACACTGGGTTAGAGAACGTTTAGTAACTCTTATATAGTTTGAAAGAGCATTTAAATCTGCTTTGACTTATTTTAAAAATACATAGTGCTGTATTTGAAATAACGAAGTTTTTATGTAAAATAGATATTTAAATAGACCAGCAATTTTTGATACCGCTGTATACATTTAAGGAAGCAATAATTTTTTTAGTTAAGTTTATTTCTGTGGCTTGAAAGTCAGCACAAGAATTAATTTTGAAAAGTAATGTATAGGGTGATGACAAACTTTTTACTACTTTTTAAATATACATAGGATGCATATTTAAATATCTTTAAACATCTCAAAAACCAAAATTTAAAAACATATTAAACCCTTATAATAAATACCTTATTTTAGGCCCAAAAATCCAAAAATGAAATAAAATACCGGGTGTTCCATAAGAAAAAATATAACTTTGGTGTGGATCTTAGTTCTGACACACCCTGTACATTTGAAAATAATTTTAAATTATGCACATTGCCTCTCTACATATACCCATAAAAAAGTTTGTTTCTACATCTTTCCGTTTTCGTATAATCAACCGAGGCAAATGAGGTGCGCCACTATCAGGGTTGGAAAAAATCATGATTTTTTTAAAAAAATCAGATTTATTTGATTTAAATCGGATTTTTTTGATTTAAATCAGATTTTTTGATTTTAATTCATAATCAGATTTCCAAATGACTAGGACTTATTTCCAATTAAATTCCTATCCTAAATGGCTAAATCTTTATAACTCTCCTTGATACCGATTAGAATTTAGAATTTAGAATTAGTGGGAGGGGGGTTAATCACTGCGACCTTACAGATCTATTGTGTCCCCCTTTCTTGAGTTATAACTCATCATACAGTCCCAGGGCTTTGACAAAAGCCAGTATCTGGGACGGTTTTATAGAGGGTAGTTCTCCATCTCCAATATCAGTCGTACCAAAATTCATGGCACGAATGGTTGTCGTCTCGGCACGAGCTCCCGTACCTCCGGAGACGGTGTCTCCCCGTCACCCGGAAAGTAAGCAGAGGCAATCACGATGTTTTTACTGCAAACCTCTATATTAAGCTGAACCATGATAGGAACAAAATCTCGGGTTGTAAATTCTGAAACATGTGTAGTTGATGTCTTTTCTTATAAGAATACAGGCTCGGGGAAATTCCTGCCTGTTATCATATATTACCTTTGAATTTTCCAGACAAACCTCTAATTTGTCCCTGAGACACCCATATTACCTTTGAATTTTCCAGACAAACCTCTAATTTGTCCCTGATACACCCAGGGTTCCTGGGCTAGTACCATTGCATAATGATTTTTCTCAAAGAGTCTTGCTATTGTAGAGGAAGACCCTTTTGCATGATGCATTATTTGGGATATCCCATGCATGGAGGGAGGGGGGGAAGGAAGAAAGGATAAGTTCGGGGTGGGAAGAGGGGCTGGAGTAGGACTTTGGACCTGGTTTAGGTTACTGGGGTGTGTGAGGATTCTCCCGTTGTAGAGGGGATAGGGTATTCCTCATCCTCCTCTGACAACGGAAGTTCCTCCTCCGAGAAGTGGCCATCAATCTTCTCCGAGGATATACACCCTTCCACGGTTGGGGTTTGGCCCTCCGTGCCCTTTACAGTCGAGGAGCTTGTCTCCTGCTGAGGTACCTGTGAGGTAGAGGCTGGAGGATCTCTCCATTTTATCTACCTGTTTAGCTTGGTCTCTTCTTAGACCTGATGTTGTCCCGAATCTATAATAAAGAATGTATCCCTCTTTTTCTATTGCCTCCTTGGATTTGAGATCAATTCCTATTGTGAGGACTTGGCCGCGGCCCTCTTCCCTGGAGTTGATGATTCGCCAACACGACGTCCTTGCATCGGAGTTCTGACCCTGGATAAGGCTCAGCAGGTAGGTGGTGTATTTCCCTTTGCTCCTCGGCAAAAAGACCGTGATGGTCGCCTCCTTAGGGATGTTTTCTCCCTTCAGAGCAACCAGTCCCGGCCCCTGCCAATTCTTAAGTTTAGGTGCCGTTTCCATCAACCAATCCGCCGATTCTAGAGATACACAGTCTATGAGGAGCATGCCCACCCGAAAGTGAATCCCCGCAAATCGCAGTTTGATACCGATAACATTAACAATTCTACGGCGCGTGTCATTTTTCCACATCGGTCACCAATATATTCCGCAAAAAGGGTCGCTCGTTTCAGATCAAAAGGATTTTTTCAAACTTCTCAAAAATATTAACTTTTTGTTATTTTAACACCTAGGCATAAAAGTAAAGCACTGTTATGCTTAAACACAAAAGCACCAAAATATATTATTAAACTGATATAAGTGTCAAATTCAACGAGTGTACAAATTGTTGCTCGATTACTCTTCAATCATATATGATTTGCAATGTTTGAAATTGATTAATAAATAATACAATAATAAAATACACTAATACTAATAATACCTAATAAAACAATACACTATTGTTAGGAAATAGTCTTAAGTCGAGAATAAAATTAGTATGTATTATCTAAAGTCAAAGTGTAAAGTACTTAATGCAGATCAAAATGTCGGTAGGAATTTGAAAACATACTGTTTCAAAAAAAAAATAAAACATTTCGTTTTCTGACGATTATAGATTCTTGGGAATGAAGGTATAGTCTCTATCAGAAGAACCTAGTTCTGCACTAGACTTTGCGAATGATATGTATTCGAATAGAGAGTTTTTGTTACTTATACATAAATTTTAAAATAAATCCCTGCGTTTAGCAGACTCGAAATTACTTGAAAAATCGGTCCACCATTTAAATTGACGAATAGATATTTTTATATAGTTTTGTAAGATTTACCATTATTTTCCGATTTACTATCTGTTATAGAAATATTTTTTCTAGTTTTCTAGGGCACAGTTTTATAACTTTTACAGTTATTTTTTGATTTATTATAAAGTTTCAGTAAAATGTTTTCTTTTGATTTAAATCATATGATTAAAATTAAAAAATCATTTGATTTAAATCATGCCAACCCTGGCCACTATAGTATTTTCTGTTCTTATTGTTTGTGTCCCTTTTTAAGTCTACATTATTTCAAATTTACTTTTCTTTTAGATGAACAAATAGCTATTAAATACGCTAGCAAGGGAATCGTAGGTCCACTAAATGTTTTATGGACTAAATACTTTATAAGCAATAAAGATGAAAAGGCGACACAAATCTGGAACGAATACCTGAAAGATTCCCCTAGAATAATGTTCCAGAAAATAGTTCAAACTGCCAGAGAAACTCAAGACGAGCACCTCATACAGAAACTAATAAACCACTTAAAAATCAGTAACGTTACAGAGGGCGCTACCGGCAATGCTTACAGTTGCTATTTGGACGTACTTATTGCCAAAAACAAATCGGAAGAAGTTGTGAATGTGTTTGAAAAAGCTTTAACCGAAATCGACATCAACAATATCAATAGGACGGCCGTTTTGAGAGTCAAAGAAGTTTATGAAAAGTTGGGTAAAGAATTCAGTCATCCCATCCCAACAAAAAACAAATTTAGCAATGGGGAGGAGGAATAACGATTGATTGTGGAAATGTATTTTAGTGTTTAAGTTTATTAAATTTTGTTTTATAAAAGTTTTGACTTTGTTTGGCCTTGGTGTTTTATACTTCTATACAGGGCCCGGCAATAGTGCGTCGGACATCTGTAGCTCCTAGAATAAAAAACTAGGAAATTTCGTTTAAGTGTAAACCTGAAGTATATACTTGGATGTTGATGGATGATACTTGATTTTAGGAAAATATTTTAACTTCTAATAATTTTTAAATGGAACATTATATTATTATAATTTTTAAATGGAACACCCTGTATATTATTGCATTTTTGGCGTCCTTTCAGATCGTTTTACATAATCCTAAGATATGAGTAAATATATTTCGATAGTTTCATAGATATTAATAAATAAATAAAATATATATATATTTTCAGCCATTTTTAAAAAAACATATTAAAAATACAAGAGCATGTTCTGAAATCAAAACTATATTAGGTATTTACTTTAGATGGTAAGTCCTTAATATTTCGTAATCCTAAATCATACCGTATGTTCAAAATTCTACGCCAAACTTTCTAAAATATAAAATAATTTTTCTTCCGTTTTTTTTACATGGAACACCCTGTATATTCTTTATTTTTATTAGATGGTGAATTAAAAATGAGCATTTTTTGTATTTAGAGTATATAGATTCCCAGATTTTCGCGGTTTTATATGTCATTTTCATAGTGCATTTTCCACAGTAAATTTTTATCTTTTTAAGAATGGGTGTCCATTTAAAAAAAGAAACATAGAAAAATGATTTTATATTTTAGAAAGTTTGGCTTAGTATTTTTAACATCCTGTATGATTTAAGATTATAATAGTTACAGCAAAGTAAGTACAGTAGAACCCCGATTATCCGAGCTCCGGATTAACCGATCCAATCTAAAGACCTTGATTATCCGAGGTCGCGCGTCTATGCTCTGTATTAACTGAGCTTCTAAAATATGCTATATGTATATTTACGGGGGATCCCCTTGGCCCGTGTAAGTGGTTCCCCTTATTTATATTTTTGGACTCTTTTAGCATGTAAATTTGAGTGAATACAGTTCGTTATTACGTTCACTAGGGAGAAGTAGATGTACGTATGTACTCGCATGATTTATCTGGGTGGAGTTCTAGTTAAGTGTATACCAACTGCTTTGTTTAAATTTTCGTTTGCCGTATTATAATGGAACGAAACAAACGTAAAAGAATTGTCGTTCCTATTGAAGAAAAATTAAAAGCCATTAGGAGAATTCAAGCAGGAGAGAATTAAAATTGTTGCACGAGATTATGGAGTAGGTGAGGTAACAGTTGGAGATTGGAACAGAAACAGCACTAAAATAGAAGAATGGTGTATAAAACAAGTCTCTTCGTCTTCAAGAAGAAAATCTATGAAAAAAGGCGACTATGAAAAAGTTAACGAAGCTTTATTTACGTGGTTTACTCAGCAAAGATCAAAAGGTGTGCCTCTGTCAGGTCCCATTTTGCAGCAGAAAGCAATAATGATTAGTAAACAATTTCCAGAGACAGATAGGTTTACCGGCAGTTCTGGATGGCTTGACCGCTGGAAAAAACGGTACGGTGTACGACAACTGACTATATGTGGAGAAAAACTTTCTGCTGATGTGTGATCAATTGAAAAATTTAAACAGGGCTTTAAAAAGCTAATCAAACATTGTGGGTATACATGTGATCAAATTTATAACTGTGACGAAAGTGGTTTGAATTATAAAATGCTTCCATCAAAAACATTGGCATCTTGACAGGAAAAATCAGCTCCTGGGCACAAAAGAAGTAAGGAAAGATTAACCATAATGACATGTTCCAATGCATCTGGTAATCACAAAATTCCACTTATGGTGATTGGCAAGTCTGCACATCCAGGAGCGTTAAAAAGACATCTCACCCAAAGCCCTACCAGTTTATTACAAAAGTCAGAAGAGTGCATCGATGGATGCGACGTTATTTACTAACTGGTTTAAAGAAGAGTTCGTGCCATCTGTGACTAAATTTTTGAAGATAACCAGCCTCCCTATTAAAGCAATTTTGTTAACGGACAATGCTCCCTCTCACCCTGGAGAAGGACTCCACGTGGGCGAAATTGTAAAATTTTTTCCTCCAAATGTAACCAGTATAATGCAACCAATGGACCAGGGCGTCCTCGAAAACATAAAAAAAAAATATAGGCGTTTATATCTTGAACATCTACTAGAATGCACCGAAAAAAAAGAGGGATATTATCACTGGGATAAGAAAGATTACACTAAAAAATGTTATTTACTGGGTAAGCCAAGCTTAGGATTCGTACGCGGTTCCACTATTCAAAAATCTTGGTCGAAAGTTATTGATCTTGAGGACTATAATGACAGTGAAGATGATATTCCATTAAATGAATTGGCTTTGAAATGGAAAAGCCGTGGAGAAATGTCCTGTATAAATTTAAACGAGACAGGAGAAGAAGAAAGTTTATTAGAATTAATGCAAAACTTGAAAGGTTGCGAAAATGTGACAAGACAAGACGTTGATGAATGGGTTACAGCAGATGATTTAGAAGAAGAAATTAATATTGAAGAAATAGCGAACGCCTTTCGCGAAACCTAAAAATCAGATGACGATAACTATGACGAAGAGGTGGATGAACAGCCTTCCACTAAGATTACCCATCAAGAAGGTTTTGCTTCTCTGGAAACAGCTCTGAGGTATATCGAACAACAATCAGAGGCAACCCCAACAGATTTGCTTCTTCTTAACAGATGGAGAAGCATGGCAGCGAGAAAAAGAAGTTATTTCGTTAGTTCGCGTTATTTCACTGTTTTATAATGTAGACAGTATCTACATATGTAGGTACTTATGTATTTACATGTTAAAAATGTTAATAAACCGTTTAAAGTATGTATTGGTGCTTATTTTTTAATAAATCCGGATTATCCGAGTTTTCAGTTATCCGAGGAGGATGTCCCCCACGTTACCTCGGATAACCGGGGTTTTACTGTATAAACCATCTAAAGTAAATACATAATATAGTTTTGATTTCAGGAGAGTTCTTGTATTTATAATAGTTTTTTTAAGGAAGGTTGAAAAATATTTTTTTTATATTTATTTATTAATATCTCTGAAATTATCAAAATATATTTGCTCATATCTTAGGATTATGTACAGGAAGCCAAAAATGCAATAATATACAGGGTGTTCCATTTAAAAAAAACATCCCGATCCACTCACATTTTTTTGAGCCACCCTATAGAAGTTAAACTTAAATTATTTTCCTGAAATACATCCTATCTGGAACATAATTTAGGTTTGCACTTAAACAAAATTCCCATGTTTTTTATTCTAGGAGCTGCAACAGATGACGCACTATTGCCGGACCCTGTATAAACTGGATAAAACTAGAAATGGTAAAATAATACAGTAAGAATACCATAAATAAAACAGGCGTCATAGTTGGTTTGGAAATGAAAATAGCTGTCATTTTATATGTACATAAAACTATATGGGGAATAAGGGGGAATATCATCAATCGTCATTTTCAAGTCAACCTGACGCCGTTTTCTATCGCTAGATATTCTGTGCTATAAGTATACAGATAAAAATCTTGTCCCTAATTCGTGGTACGAAAATTGTTTTTTATGACGATGAGCAAACGAGTAAAATTTCCTGTGCGTAAAAATAAACTCCCGTTTAAACAGCTTAATAACTGGGCCGGTCAGGCGCTGTGTAAAATTTTAGAGGCTATAAGCACAGAATATCTAGCTACGCAACAGAAGCCTCGTTACATGTATAAAATTGTAGGTATCAAAAGGAGACAGGCTTTAAAAGCCTGTCTCCAAATCAGATATTTTGATGCGGTAGTTTCGCTACTACATAATAGAGGGCGATAAATTTAAAAGAAAATAGTTTTCTAAAAACGAAATTTAAAAGAATTTTGTGCAGTGTTGCCATTGTGTAATTCATATTGTAATACTTTCTGATAAATCCTACCTTCAAATTTGCTACATCATTTAAACATATTAAAATAGATCAATGCTCTTTTTTCAAACGTTTAGTCAGGTTTAAGTACGTATTTAACTTACCATATTAGTTGGGGTTAAATCTTACGAGCTGAATTACAATCAGTTCCTGACGTTTGATTATAATTGAATCCTGAATTTTGATTGTAATTCGTATTATGATACCACTTCCTGACGTTCAATTGTGTTCATACTTTATACCGTATGATCGGGGAAAAACGGCGTTAGCGATAGCTATGAAAATGAAGATCGCTGTCATTTTATATGGGAAATAGTATACTATAATATAGTACCATATTACGATACATGGCGTCTGATTGAGCTTAAACTTGGTATTCTACTTATCTTTAGTCTTGTAATATTATGGTTCCATGGAGCATATGTTAGTACAACCCTCTATAATACTACATTATGATACCACTTCCTGACGTTCGATTGGGCTCGTATTTGATATATACTTGCATATTTTTGATGACATTGCAATATTATGGTACCATGAAGCCATGAAGCATATCAAGTGGTACCATACTATAATATAGCACCATATTAGATACATGGCGGTTGATATAGGGCTTAAACTTGGTATACTACGTATCTCCGGTGACATTGTAATTTTGTGGAACCATGGAGCATATAAAGTGGTACCTTCTATAGTACCATATTATGTTACCACTCCTTGATGTTCGATTGGGCCCATATTTGATATATACTTGCGTATTTTTGATGATATTGCAATATTATGGTACCATGAAGCATATCAAGTGGTACTATAATATAGTACCATACTACATACATGGCGTTCGATTGGGCTTAAACTTGGTATACTACGTATATTGGGTAACATTGTAATTGTAATATAAATGGTACTATATTCTATATAGTACCATATTATGATACCACTTCTTGACGTTCGATTGAGCTCATATATTTGATATATAATTTCGTATTTTTGATGACATATTGTGATCATATTATGATACCATGAACCATATCAAGTGGTACCATAATATAGTACCATATTACGTACATGGCCTTCGATTGGGCT